TTTCTTCAAGGAGTTGGAGTTGAGCTGAAGAGGGGCATCAAGAAGGCCAAACACCACTACAAAAGGAAGGTGGAGGATCACTTCTCCAACCTCAACTCCGGACGTATGTGGCAAGGCCTTCAGATTCTTACAGACTACAGGACCACCAACACCTAGCCCGCATCCTCTGATGTCTCCTTCCTCAATGAGCTTAACAACTTTTATGCTCATTTTGAGAGAGGAAACACTACAGCTGCAACCAAGGCAGCCATTACCCCAGAACACCAGTGCGTGACTCTCCTTTCCCTCTGATGTAGGAGCAGTCCTGAGCATGATTAAAGCCCACAAGGCTGCGGCTCCTGATGGCATCCCTGAAAGAGTCCTCAAGAATGAGCAGTGGGGAGCAGGCAGGAGTGCTGAAGGACATCCTCAACCTGTCCCTGGCCAATGCCAACATGTCCGGCTGGACAACCACTTTTTATCCACCATCACTATAAACACCTGAGTGCCACAAGGCTACGTGATGAGTCAATCCTCTACTCCCTCCTCACCCAAGACTGTAGACATGTCCATGGCTCCAACGCCATCATCAAGTTTGCATATGACACCATGGTAATCTGCAACATGTATGACAGTTTGGTATGGAAACTGCTTTGTCTCGGAAGGCATTGCAGAGGGTGGTGAAAACTGCCCCACATTGCTGGGGAACGGCTGCCTGCCATCAAGGACATCTACAGGAAGCGGTGTCTGAAAAGGGCTGGGAAAATCACCAAAGAATCTACTCACCCTGCACACACACTCTTCTTATTCCTACCTTCTAGGAGGCGTTACAGAAGTCTACGGGATAGAACCACCCGGCACCAGAACAGCTTCTTCGCAACAGCTGACAGACTGCTGACACCAACTATGAGGACAGTTAGAATACCTTCTATTTCTTTTTTTAAAACGAACAAACGGGTTGATTGTTTGCCTTTGTTGATTGGAAGATGTTTGCGCATTCCAGATTAGGCAAGAGCTTGATTTATCAGATAACTCAGTGAAACAGATGAATCAGAAAATGTTACTGCAACTGCTGCTTTGATTGGCTAAAAGATGTACACAGGAGGAAGGTAACCAATCAGCTCAAAGAAAATATGGATTATATGCTTCTTGGCGCAAAGACTGATGCACATTTCTATGACCTAACCAGGAGAATATATGTAGTTTATATCTGACTGGCAGTTTTCATCCTTTTTAGGTGTTATATTTTGTTGAATGAGCCTAAATAAGATTTAGTTTCATTGAATATGTTTACTGTAAATCATAAAAGCTCCAACCTATTGATGAAAAGTTCTTTCAATGCTCCTTCAGTTTAAAGGAACAGAGCCTAATTTATTTTCATTGGGTAAGTTTTAGTACTTTTTAATGATTGTGGTTTGAAAAAGTTTGGTTGAGTGACGCAAATACTCATGCCAGGTCAAAAATCTGCAGGGATTGCTGCACACGATCACAAAAGGTTCCTTTTGAGACATCTCGAATTGTAAGTTAAACATAGCACCACATGTTTGTTAGTCACGATATGCTTTAAACAGGATGCCCGAGGAGTTAGTGTGGGTGAAATTGGTTTAAAAGTTTTGATAATGTGATGAGGCCTCTTCAAAAAAATTATAAAGTTTCAGGCTGGTAAGCCAAAATATCAAATGGGTACTAGAGGGAAACTACAGAACTAAGTTTTTCCATATTTAAAAATGTTCAGTATGTTCTGTAAAGTTTATCCAAAATATATTTATGTGAAGAGGACTTGAAATGGTAAAATATTGTAAAATATTGTGAAAAGAGGGCACCAAGAGAAAACCTGTATTATCAACACTTTGCAAATCAGTATTAATGCAGAAACACATCTTCTGGCAAAGGACAGTGTGGGAGAGTGCTGTTCTCCAATCCCACACATAAACAAATGTGTACACATGCAGTAATGAGAGCCCACATTGATTTTTACAAACATGCACCACTCAACTTTCTGTGCCTTTTTAGTTTTTTAGGACATACACACGCACACACACACAGATAACAGAAATGTTCTATTGTACACTTTTAAAGAAACATACTATAGGTGCAGTGAAGTGATACGGGCTTTTCATGAGTTCAATGCTAAACAAATGAAAACGTAAATCTGTTTTCTAAATTTTAATTGGCATAGTAAATACTTAAGCATGAAATGATTTGGCCAATATAAAAAAAACATCTCTTCATTAAATCTAACAATGTTGATAAAAAGTTTCATATTTTAGTCCAAACTTATTTCTCCAATCTGACAACTTATTTTGAGATTAATTTTCATTTTGCACATGTTGGACCACCAACTATCAGGCTTTTTTCATTTTTTTTTTGGTGATTTTGATATGACGTTATGAATGTCCATGAGTTGCTGCTGCATAATAAGTAAAGAATAAGCAAGTTGTCCTACTACTGAGGTTAGATATGCTGGAAATTAGGGATTTATTTAGTTTGTTTGAAGAAAATGGGGCTGTGTAAACATATTACCATGTAAACATTTACCCAGCCATCCCAAAAATAATGTATATTGATTATAAATTTCACACAAACGCTGTTTTTTTTTTTTTTTTAAAGAAGTACTCATTTATAGTTGAGAAAATATCCTAGTATAATGTTGTAGTAATTTTTGTGATTAGGGCCTTAAGTTTTCAATCCGACAATGCAAAAAAACAAAGAAGCATACAAAACTAGAGTTAGTAATAATGACCATGGTAGGGCAAAATGAGAATAATCAAATACTTAGCTGAATGTGTTTTATTTGATTATTTTGTCACATTCCTTTTTTCAATCAAATCTATCAAGCAATGTAAGCATACAGTTCTTTATGGCAGTGTTTTTAACCCTGGTCCTCAAGGTACATTGCCCTGCAAGTATTGGGTGTTTCCAGGCTGTCACACACCTGTTATCAATTGAAAGACTTAAGAAAGACTTAATTAAAAGACTAAAGTACCTTTCAAAGACGATTTGTTTAAAGTGGATTTTTTTTAGGGGGCTGACATTTTTATCAACCAGGGAAATGATTTCTTTTAAGGGCATCTCAATAGTGAATTGATTGATTAAGTCTCTAGAAGTCTCTATTGTAAATGTATTAGAAAACTATTGCTTTACAATGTAATTTAATAAGGCTAAATCTTAATCATGATAAGTGCATCATTTAAAAATAAAACACAACAGTAATTATGAGTATTTTTATTTGGTTGAAGTTCTTTTTCTTACTAATATTATGATGGCATCACTACTAAGATATTTGGCTGCTGTTTGTGATTGTTATTACTCTAGGAATCGTTTTCCCACAGCTCTACTTGACTTCCCATCTGAGAGAGGAGAGAGAGAAATGAGTGTAGGCTTATTGAAAATACAGTCAGACCCGACAAAGGAGGACGATATAAGTCTAGATGTTTTAGTGGAAAAACAAGCCTCTTGAGTAACGGATAAAGATCTGGTTACAGTCTTGTTCTCCATCATTTCTCTTTACTCGTCTAACCCCACCTCCATCACTCTAACATCAATCTTATTTCTAATCTACTTATCCATCTCAGACTGTTTCTTTTTACGTTCAGGTTTGGCTCTTAGTCCTTCCTCACAGAAGCACCCATATACAGAATATCCTGAAATAAAAGATCAGATGCTAATTAAAAAACAAATTATGTTTACTAGGTTGTTTGGCCATTTGATCAGTTGGGGAAAGTCTTAAAAAATGGGCAGGGCCTAAAACTTCTAAAACTGCTACTAGTATCTAAAAATATCAGATGAAAAAACTACTTCGAATTGAAGACAATTGTACAAGCACTTGTTTTAATAACCAGAAGGGAAAAAGAATAGGTAACAGTGTCAGCAAAAAGTCCTGTATCTTTCCAGTATCTTGTGTATGCAATTTTTCATTTTCATTTTAAATATTCTGTTGTTTATATGCATTTATTTTATTATTGACTTATCTTTTTCTCTAAAATTGGTTCTAACACAACTAAAAGCAGTAAAACAAAAAAGAAGCAATCTGATAAAGAAGACTAAATGGAAAATGATAGACAAAGAACTAGAACAGTAAGAAGAAGGTAAAAAGGTGAAAACACAAAGGATCGAGGCTGAGAAAGAGCTGTCGTTTCCAAGAGACAAGAGGGATGGAAAGAGGATAAAAAGAAAGGGTTTAATAATGCAGTAGAGAGTTATGCACCATCACTGCAGCTGTGCCAAGTAAGGTCAGCTAAACTACTACACTTAAATCCAGCACTGCATTTTTATTTCATTTTATTACAGATTTTCTATGGGAATTAGGGGTTTTTCATAAACCATTTTGTGATAATCACTAATTTATTTAAATCTCAACATGTCATAGTTCTCACCCCATTCATTTTCTATATGTAAAAACGAACCCAGCAATTTGCAATGACTAGTCAAAATAAAGACACACAATACATTTTAATTCTACTGTCAGATATTAAATCAGACTAAAGACTCATTGAATTAGGTCATTTAGGATTACTCCAAAATAAAAATACAAAATAAGATTGATCTTTACAAATACACTCAGGAAGATTTGAGATTTTCCAGTGCAAGTGAATTGCTGCAGAGAATGCAATGATCTGCAGCATCTAATTGTCCATAAGGAGCTTGTGACTGGTTGCAAAGCACATCGAGTTATGGTGAAGTGGTGAGATTGGCACTGTAGAATGGTGTCATAAGATTAAACAGCATTTATGTAAGTGGTGTTTGTTGATAGCAAATTTACGCCGCTAACATTTGAAAGCTAAAGCTTCAAAACAGCTGTGGTGACATCCTAATGTAGTGAGAGGATCATGCTGCAAAGTGACTATACATTAACTGTGTTGCCAAGCTCTATTGTTTCATGCAGCTCTTTTCTAATGTAGTACTCATACTGAATACTGATGCAGGTTTGAAAAAATAAATCATGAAGGAGATGTATACACACAAAACTTCTGAAACAAAATTACTCTAATGATTGCTTAGGTCAACTGAAAAGAGAGAGTCAAAGTTAGGAAAAAACAGTTATTCCACTCTTGTGGCATGTTTCATTTAGAGAAATTTCAGCAGCTCTTGGATGCATCTGGAAGAAAATAACAATAAAAGAAAGTGGAATATAATCCATAAAAAAAAAAAAAAAAAATTAATCCAACTTAAAGCCAAGATAAGGCAGCTCTGCCTCTCTCAATGCCTCTCCTTAAAATCTTGGTTGTTTCTAAATAGAGTCTTCATATTATCCTTCTGCATGTTTTTTCAGGGTACGCTTCTTCTACAGTCCAAAAACATGAATGTTTGGTGAACCATTCTGAAGACAGCATCTAATTGTCTAATTACACTGATTAGATCTTTTAAAGAAACAAATCAACAAGAACTATATCCCTTAAAAGAGCCATAAATCCAAACTTGTTACCTGTGTAACACAATAAATTTACAGCAGCATTCACCTATGATAAATTGAAATAAAATAGATAAAAGGGAATGTCAGTTAGATTACTGAGTTAAAGTCAATAAAATATTTACTAACAGATTTTAAATAAAGTGACATTATTTTAACATACCGAACCATGGACCTGGCTGACCTAATCAGAACACATAATTTAATTTGTAGTCAGGCAATCAAAAAAAAGGTTAAGATTTCTTTAATAAAAAGTATGTAGTATTTACCACTGTCAACCGCTTGTAACAATTAAATAAAAAAACTTTAAAATTCAAAATATCAAAGCGCAAGTTCCAGATTTTTGCAGCATTTTCCCCTCTTTGGTGAAATGTTGAACTTACACAGATGTTGTGCACTTAAACAGGAGAACAGGAAAAGCATAGCAGTCTTACTCTGCATCTGCATAGTTATATAGTTTAGACCAATACAGTATTTTGGAGGTAAAAGAGTTGTAAATAATGAAGTTATCTTGTAAATGCATCAATGGTGATGGAGACTCAAGGAAGTTGCTTGGTAAATGAGAACACATGGTGCATCAAACCCATCGCATGACCAGAAAATGCTACCGACTAAATCTCTTATGAGCTGCCTATTGGAGCCCATAAAGGGAAATGTGATTTATAGAGATAAGCTCAGTTTAGATCAGGCTTTATCTGTTTTTAAATCTTCAAATGTTGTTGTCCATCCTTCCTCTCTAAACTTTACAGCTAATTACCTTTTTTTTTTTTGCATAATATAATTATATTTATATATATATATTTTTTTTTTGTTATATAGGTCCAACTCTGTGGTTGATTCTGTAGTGCTTATAAAGGTGGATTGACATATTGAAAGACATATCTCATGCTCTTACCTCAGGTCTGACAGGATCCTCAATTCCTACAACACAGATGGCTGTAAGGTCACTGAGAATGTTGTTCTCATCATCCCACTTGGGTTCAGGATCCCTGGGAAAGTCGCGGTATGCCACACAGATAGTCCTGAGACCCTCACATGCCATGGGTTCAATCACTTTCTTCACCATCTCATCCTTGTCTCGTGGCCGGAAAACTCTGGGCTCACCAACTTCATTCAGAATATGACTGCATCTAAAAAAAAACAAAAAAAACATGGTAATAGCTTAAACAATCTAGCTCTCAAAACAGGGCCTACTTTTAGATTGGGTTAACCATCATCGTACGGTAGCGACAGATTGGTGTCAGGGACAGTAATTCTCCAATATTGTGCTAACCAAAAAGAAAGAAAAACACCAAGGAAAAGGATCATACAGCCCATTCGTATTTACAATAAACACCACAAAAAACCAAACATACTTTAGTCTTCACTACTCCACAAGCCCCATGAGCCTTTTTATACTCATCTTCAGATCCACACAATTACTTTCTATTCCTCTTCTTCTACTCAGAGGTACTGCTCTATCATCACACCCTCACTCTCTTCCTTCTTTTTGTATCCGTCATGCACTCTTACTGCATGTAAACTGCTCTGCATTTGAAGAAGTTGTTGCATGTTTGTTCTCCTACACACTTCACATTTGATACACAATTGCACTTTATGGAATAGAAATGTTCATTTACTGTCTAAAAGCTGTATTAAATACAATTTTGTTTTGTATAAACTCTGGGTATACTAAATGACAATGTTGTCTAAGTAATTTGGTGCAGTTCAAGAGTAAGGTTATATGGTCCCTTCCAGCATGTAGGATGCTTTCACACCAGTCCCCTCTATAACAACACTAGTGTAATGCAGATGTCCTTACTTTGCCCCCTGTGGTAACCCGTACTCAGTTGTGTCATATGGCATCACGAGACCTGTGCTCCTATCAGACCTTATATATTAGGGGAGTGTTAGCCTAATGGTTAGAGCAGTGTGCTTGTGCTCTGAAAAGGTAACTAGGTTCGATCCCCACAGCCTGCACTCGGGTTCCTTGTGCAAGACCCTTAACCTCACACTGCTCCCCGGGTGCCACACAGTGGCACACTGCTCCCCAAGGGGATGGATTAAATGCAGAATTGAATTTCTACAATTTTAGATTAATAAAGTTCAATTATTATTATCATTATTATTATTATTATTATTATTATTATTATTGTTTGTAGTAGTAGTATATAGCTGAAGCAGGAAGCTGACAATAAGTGTGAGGGATGAGCCAAAAATTGCTGCTGCAGGTAGGCTTTGCAGGCTTTTATTTTGCAGACGTTAATTAAATTTAGATTTATGCAGTGGTCCACTTTTCTATTTAGGCCAGTTGCTGGGTTCTGACTTGATGGAGAGCTAAAACAGCCTCTAAAACAACCAACAATTATCTACTGACAGGAATATCTAATCCAGAGCTTGCAACCAAATAACTTCAACCTTCTGCTGCTCGGGCTGGTAGGAGGTTCTTGTAGCCATCCCACCTTTGCATTTGTATTTTAGTCTGCAACTTCACTCATTCAATTATTGCATCTGCAGTCTTCACTCCATATATGGACATTCTATTATGGGTCGCAAAAACTGTTACTCTGTACAACTGCTGCTGCAATATTTTTGTACTGTATATGGGTGGGGTTTTTTTTGTTTGTGTGTTTCAATTTCTCATCATTGAATGGCAATTTATAAATTGTCACTTATTCCCTAAATGCATGTTTAATATATGCTCCTATTTTAAAGCAAATCCAGTTTCTCAATCCATCAAGGCATTTTTCGTACAAAAGAGTACAACTGCTAAGTACTTAAAATACTGGACTCACTTCTTGAGTACAATTTCAGAGGCTCCCTTGCTGTACATTCGGAAGCTCCCATCAGTAAGTTTGATTACAGTGCTCATAGATTTTCTGACGGAGTTGAAGGTGTAGACTTTGTAAAGCTTCTCCTCTGGGATTTGGTTTCTTATGGGTTGATAATCTCGCTTAAGGTCCAGGATCAGTCCCAAGAGTCCACATTCAGTCTTGTTTCCAACTTGCTTGGGTAGACCACCTTCCTTATCTGGGGGCTGAAGAAAAGGAGAAGTAATACATTTGTATCTAAAGAATTATCTTAAGGAACTTCATAGAATGTTTATTAAAAACATCCGTTTTCTATATTCAATTCTATGCGGTGAGATTCTTTTCCTTTAGTAAAATTAAACATGTCCAATGTAACACTTGAAATAGCTGCTGGTGATAATTGACTAGCAAGCAGGTGACAGGGTTACTGTGAGTGGGAAGGCAGTAGATGAGACAGATAGAATCAAATTTGGATGTTCTTATTTCAGGAAAGCAGCTCTTGCCTTCACAATCTGTAATTGTATGTGCAGAAGCATGCAATTATATGGTTCAGTGAATATTTGAGTTCATTACCAACAATAGAATGCAGCATATGATGCTCCTTCTTTCCCTGATATCTTAGATTTGTTTTTGGTAGAATAGGTACTAGAAAATTTCATTACCCTTTGAGGAGCCGTTTAACGGAAACTTCACAAAACAACACAAAGAATAATATTTACTGCTAAAAAAAATGAAAGGAACATGTAAACAACACATATACAACTTAATTAAAATCAAACTTCTGTGAAAATCACACCTTCCCTTTAGGACGCAACTGACTGACAATCAATTTCACATGCTGTTTTAGAAATGGAATAAACGACATGTGGAAATTTTTGGCAATTAGCAAAACGCACTTTCTAAAAGAATGGTTCTGCAGGTGGGGACCACAGACCACAGTACCTATGCTTTCTGGATAATTTTTTGTAACTTTTAAATGCTAGTGGTGCTTTCACACTCGTAGTAGGTTAAGACGGACTCTACAACACACACAAGTGGCAGAGGTAGTGCAAATCATCCAGGATGGCACATCAATGTGAGCTGTGGCAAGAAGGTTTGCTGTATCTGTCATTGTAGTGTCCAGAGGCTAGAGGCGCTACCAGGAGACAGGTCAGTACACCAGGAGACGTAGAGGACCCCCTAGAGGGCTACAACCCAGCAGCAGGACCGCTCCATGTGTCTTTGTGTAAGGAGTAACAGGAAGAGCACTAACAGAGCCCTGCAAAATGACCTCCAGCACGCCATAAAGGTGCATATGTCTGCACAAACGGTTAGAAACCGATTCCATGAAGATGGTATGAGGCCCCAACGTCCACAGATGGGGTTGTGCTTACAGAACACCATGCAGAACATGTGGCCTTTGCCAGAGAATAACAGTATTGGCATATTTGCCACTGGTGCCTTGTGCTCTTCAAAAATGAAAGCAGATTCACAATGAGTACATTTGAGAGATGTGACAGTCTGAAAAAAAAAAAACATTCAGAGTGATCTGCTACCTGCAACATACTTCAACATGACCGGTTTGGCAATGGTTCAGTAATGGTGTGGATTTGCATTTCTTTGGGGGGCCGCACAGCCCTCCATGTGCTTGTCAGGGGTAGCCTGACTGCCATAAGGGTTCTGTGATGAGATCATTAGACCCCTTGTGAGACCGAATGCTGCTGTGGTCACCCTGGGCTCATCCTAATGCAGGCAATGCCAGACCTCATGTGGCTTGATTGTGTCAGCAGTTCCTGCAAGATGAAGGCATTGACGCAATGGACTTGCCTGACCGTTCCCCAGTCCTGAAACCAACTGACCATATCTGGGGTATCCTGTCTCGATCTATCTACCAAGGTCACATTGCACCACAGACTGTCCAGGAGTTGGCGGATGCTTTAGTCCAGGTCTGAGAGAAGTTCCCTCAAGAGACCATCCGCCAACTCATGAGGAGCATGCCCAGGTGTTGTAGGGAATCTTACAGGCACGTGAGGGTAACATACAATACTGAGCCTCATTTTGACCGGTCTAAAGGACATTACTTAAAAGTTGGATCAGCTTGTTTTTGTTTTTCTACTTTATTTTGTGAGTGACCTCAAATCCAGGCCTCCATTTGTTTGAAAATATGATTTCCATTGATGATTTGTGTATAAGTTTGTTATCAGCAAATTCAACTTTGTACAGAAAAAAGTATTCATTGGAAATATTTCCTTAATGTAGATCTAGGATGTGTTATTTTAGTGTTGCCTTTTTTATTTTTGAGCAGTGTATATTTTCAGGAATGGTGAGCAAAAATTTTAGCTGTGGCCCTCTACACTCTTTTCCCACTTGTTGTTCCTGCTGATATACAAGCTAATATTAGTATTGCAGTACAGAAAGCGTCAGAGAATGTTAGGGAAAAAAAGTTAGTTAAAAAGTTAGCTAACTGTTATAATACAATGCTGTTTTTTGACTAGACATTGACAGTAGATACAGGGACATGTTGGATAAACTGGAGGTAGCTCATTTTAATTTTCAGGATGAAGAGTTTAAATCTGTAAATACTCAAGAGTTTTCCAATGAAAATGATTTGCTCTTGTCTAGGAATTAGTCTTTTGATTTTATTTAGCTGTTCCTGCTCAACAAAACTGGTGAAAGGCAAATATACCTACTTGGTTGTGTGTAAGCTAATGTTATTAATCTACATTTGGGTTACTATGTTTTACTCATCAACTGTAAGTTAAATACCCCTTACCTTTAGTAAGTACATTTTAATGCATAAATCAGGAATATTTACGACATTATTTGTTTCTATGCTTAATGTTAATGTATAAAGCTAATTCTGAAGGTTTGAGGAGGAAACACTATATCATACATGTTATTTATGTCCAATTTTAGTCTATCAACGATGTCAATAAACTGAAGATTTACACCATAGTTTGCAAAAATGGCTTCAGCAAAGTGATGCAGTATTGAGAGATAGCAGTATTGTGTATTTGTTGTTTTTGACTCAACTCTTTTTGTTGTTTAGACCTTTATTGTCCTTTGACATAAACTTACACCATTATGTAAAGCAAGGGGCAAAGAAAGAAGGCAGAGGACCTGGTGTCTGGAGTTAAACCCCTGACAGCTGCAATAAGGACCAACAGCCTACATACATGCCATGCCCACTGAACCGCTACCTCTTGCAGCATCCTCAGTCCATGTCTCATGAATGTGCTATTTTTGTCAAATCCAATAGATTTAATTGCACTTTTCAACAACTCGTTTTCTTTAATACTTTCTAATTCAAATACCTATGTCAAATATTTTTTTCAGAATTTCCCCTGTCACTTGCATGACGAATAAACCAAGAACCCCACTGCACGGCTGACCATTAGAAGAGTAGTTATCATGGAGATAAAAAGCAATACAAGTGGTAGAGTATTGTACTATTAACAGACACAACATTAGTATTTGTGAATAAAGAGGAGCCCTTTTCGACACCTGGGACCTTTTCTGAGGCATCATGTGTAAGCATTACTTTAGCATTGTCACAGGCTTATGGTAATGCAACCTATTTTCACTTTCCTAAATTACTAAACAACCATATAAAAACACTGGTAATTTAAGCTCCTATCATTTAGTTGAGACATTGCAAATGAAGTTATTGTAGCAGGAGGTTTTCAGGGAATAACAACCAGCATTGGCAAGTATTTAACACATTGTTTCAGAAAGGCTTTTCAGTACAGGTAAAACAATACACCACTTTATTTTTGTTTGTCTGTAAATGTATTTGCATTCATTTGTATTCATCCATTTCATAATGTTTTATATCTTTAAATCCCATTTACAAGTTTATTTGTTGGATAGTAAATGTATGCATTTTACTGCATTTTACTCACCAGTGTAATAAATTATTTTGCACGTGGGCATGTGGTTTGACACTACAGTTCTACAGTACATGATTTTCACTGTATGTGTAAGGAAGTAAGTGTGGCCAGCTCTGCGTTCCTATGGTAACACTGGGCAAAGCGCACTTGGCAGTTGTGACTTGGGAATAGCGTGGCAGAGAATTTTACCACTTGGGAATTCCTACTCACTGACTTAATTCTCCTGAAACATGTCCTCAGAATATTTTTTACTACACTTTTTTCATTGTCTTTTTTTGATTTGTAGTTCCTGAGGCTAAGGCTACTCTATTTGTTAAGTGTCTGTACCAAAAACTCTGCCATTCTGGTAAAATAAAACAATCTATTGGACAGGCTTAAGGCATATTCCTGCTTTAATAACATGTCCAGACACATAAGACACAATAAAGATCACATGGCTCTTTCTGTCATTTTCAATAACATTACTGTACACAATCATCACTGACAAGCCAATTGCAGTCACAGACTTGCTGCTGTTTGACTAGATGGATATTGAAATGAGGTTTGGTCTAAAAAAAAATGACTGCAAATTCTAAGGGTTTTTATTCACAATTATATGTTATGATTTAAAGTCAGACATTGTAAATTGCAATGGTGCAGTGGGTAGCACTGCTGCCTTGCAGCACGAAGGTCCCGGTTTCAATTCCCAGCGTGGGGTCTTTCTGCATGTTTTCCCTGAGCATGCATAGGTTCTATCCAGGTACTCTAGCTTTCTCTCACAGTCCGAAACATGCTTCTCTAAATTCTCCTTAGGTGTGAGTGTATATGTGAATGGTTATTTGTCCTGTTTTTCTCTGTGTTGCCTTGCGATGGACTGGCGACCTGTCCAGGGTGTACCTGCCTGTCACCCGTAGAAAGGTAATCCTGCATAATAATAATTATAAATAAAATTTTATAAATATAAGTGTTTCAAATGAATCAAACTAGATTAAAAATACAATCAGTCATTTACAATTGTATGACTATTTTCAGCACCTTGCTTAAAAAAATAAAATACCTTAAAGGAATAGTACAACCAAAACATGATTAGCCTTCATTTTCATACTAACCCCAATGCTGAACAACACTCTGGAGTACTTTTTTGATATCTCAAATGCATCTGGAGATCTGGGAGGCTTCTTGCTGTCTGCTGACATTCAAATAATGGAGGTCTATTGTGCCCGAGACAGAAAGGTCCATAAAAGTCCACAAAAACGTGTCAATATTCCTCCATACTGCTCGTCCAATGTATTCCAAGTGTCCTGAGTGGGTAGCATCCAGAATTTACTCGAAACGAAGTCATTTAGAATGTTTTTAGAGCATAAACAGTAGTGTATAGG